AAAATACTTGGGCTCTGATTTCATGGTGGATTGCTTCTTTTAGCATAACCCTTGGCTCACTGAAGTACCTCAAAGAATATTCTGGCAGCCATGTATATGGAAAACAAAGGAGCAAGTAGAAATTTTATAGTTCTTCCTTTTTATCTGTAAATTTATTTTTCAGCACAGCTGTTAAAGGTGGGTGAATAAAAGATCGATTTTAGTGACTAGACAGCAGGATTTAAAAAGTTATACTTTTACTTAAGAAATTTTGGGGACTGCTTCACCCTCTTTCCTGCTCTACCTCTCTCACTTTGTAACCTTTCCCTCCTTGTTCCCCGTTCTTTTGCCAACACTCCATTTTTTAAAGTGGTTTTTTTGCATAGTTTTCTTATTTTTTGCATTTAGGATCTTTGAACCACCACGTGTCTTCGAGTTTACTGATGAAAATAAGCCCTGACTCGTGTACCTTTCAAGCTTAAAAGAGACCAGGCAGGGCTTAAGAAAAAGCAGGAGGCAACATAAATGACAATAAATATAAGGAATTTTTCCTTCTTTTTCTTTCTCTTCAATATTCTTTGGTTTGCACCGTTACATATGTTTGGAGAGGAATTCTGAGTGTATTTCTGAAAGCTTACCATTTTGGCAGAGATGAAGAAGGAGCTGCCTGTTGTTATTGGAGTGAAAGGGTAGCATTTATTAAACTTCACTGGAGCCCGTGCATTAGAATTTTGGAAGGTCTGGCGATTTTTTTCAAAGCTATGTACAGGCTACTACTCCCCAGTAGGCAGCTCAGAGAATATTTTGAGTATTACTAAGATTATTCCATGAACTGCTTTGATTTCGTTGGCTGAAATGTACCTTATAAATTCTTATTTTACTATTGAAGAATATATGTAGATTTATATTTTGTTTCTCTCTCTTCTCAGGATTTTGTAGAAATTCTCAGTTGGGTAGATTTTTAAGTATGGTGAAAATTGCTATAAATTATCAAAACTTTCCAAAGCTGCCTGGCATGTTTAATCAATGGGTATGTTCAATCAATGTGTGGCTCCATTTCTTTTCAAAGATATCACTAGACTGAGTTTGAAATCTCCCTTCCTTATGGCTCTGGAATTGTTTCCAAAATATGTTTGATCTTCTGAATTGCATGAGGTACTTGATATAATATGAATGTTTGTGCCCCTCCCAAATTCATATATTGAAATCTTACCCCCAGGGTGATGAAAGTAGGAAGTAAGTCTTTCGATCATGGGGGTGGAAGCCTCCTGAATGGAGTTAATTCCCTTATAAAAGAGGCCCCAGAAAGCTCCTTTGCCCCTTGCACTATGTGAAGACACAGCAACAAGCCAGCAGTCTGCAACTGGGAACAGGGCCTCGCCAGAACCCAACAATGTTTGGCACCCTGACCTTAGAATTGCAGCCTCCAGAACTGTGAAAAATAAATCTCTATTCATAAGCCACTCCATCTATTGTAATTTATTATAGCAGCCCAAATAAACTAACACGGTACTTGTTAAAAATATGTATTCCCCACCTGTCCATCCTGGAAATTGTAATCTGGGAGGTATGGGGCGGAGCCTTGGAAACATTTTTAACAAGGCCCTCATGTGATTATTAAACTCAGCAATACTGCTTTAGAGCAGTGATTCTCAACTCAGACTACTTAGGCAGCTTAAAGAAAAAGTCCTGGTCTCTGGGTCCCACCTTGAACCAATATAGTCAGAATGTCTGACAGCAGGGCCCAGCATCAGTATTTTTTTAAAGAATCCTCAGGTGGCTTTAATATGCATCTAGGATTGACAATCACTGTCCACAGTGCTCTGGTTAATATTAAAACAGCTTCTGGAAAAATGCCGTGGGATAATAAATTTTTACCTCTAGTGTTTCCTTAAGATAAAATCTATTAAATTTGAGTAAATATTAAAATAGGAATATTTGAGTATGAGACAACTATCATGCATGCAGGGTCAATTTGAGTACCAGATATTCAAAATTCCTGGGTTGGAATAAGTCAGTCTCCAGACTTTTTCCATAACTTTACCAATATTCTGTTTGGGCTTTTGATCGTGTTTAATTCACTCTTGTAACCCCTTAGCAACAGACTGTGATATGTAGATAGGATGCAAATTGTCAGGTGAAATAAGTAGAGAGATGCAGAGGCAAGATTTGAGATTAATTGTGGTAGAATTTAAAACTATGGCCATGAACGGGCTGAATTATCCACCTTCTTTTTGCTTCCAGAAAAGGATCTGCACAGGTATATTTACCTAGGTGATCTCCAGAGTGGTGATTCTTAATTGTCCACCTCAGCTTTTGAAATATGTTGAAAGAACCAAGTTCTGATCGAGATCATGGCACAAGGATGTGGGCAGATTACGATGCCTCTTGATTTCAGGGAGTTTAGCTCTATTTTTTCAATGAGGTGCGTAGTTGAGGAAAATCCAGTACTAGATGGTAATGTTGGCTTGGAGTGGTTTTCTCACCTACGTCTGGCAGCTTTTCCCGGAAGTGGTGTTTTCAGTGCCTGAGACTTCCAGTCTATGCTGCTTCACATGATCACTGGGAAGCTTTAGGGGGTATAGATGCAATGACATATCTCATCAAAGGTCCTATAGCTACGAACATCTGACATCTGTGCTGCAAACAGGACCGAATGCAGACTTCAAGTGGTTATAGATTCAAATGGTATGTTATTTTTTAAAGGCACTACTGAAATTCCTTATATTTACCAGGTTTGTAATTTCTAGAGGCAATTTTGACTTGGAGAAATAGATTATGAATTAATAATCTGTCCATTTTAAAGATGATCTCCTTTCCCAGCATTTAGACAACGGTTTTTGCTGATGACTTAGTCATCATTTAGCAATGACAATAATCATAATTGCTATCATAATTTGAATACCTATAACGTGCTAGGATACTTTATATATAAGTGATACAATAGCCCTCCAAGGTATTTCCATTTTGTGGATGAAGAATCTGGGACCCTAAAAAGTTAAGGAACTTGCCAAAGGCCGTAAAACGCCTAGTGACAGAGCCAGGACTCTGCCAGCTATCAGGCTGCCTGGTGGGGTTTCTGCCCATTTTGCCACCAACCTACGCAGTGCGTATAGGAATAGGATTAGCATTCATTACTATAAACTGCAACAAGCTAAGTGAATGTTCATAAAAAGTCATCCTGTAGTTTAGTATTTAAACTGAAAAATAAAGCTAAAACAACTAGAGTCAGCCTGCAAGGGGATTACCGATAATGCCCTACATTTCTAGATGCTTTAACTTTAAATTTTTTAAACACTATCAGAGATTTTAATGAAATTAGAAAATAATTTTAAAAACCTAAATGTGTTCATCCTAAATTTGGCCTGGCTCCTCACAGCTGCAGAAATCCATTTTTACCCCATTCCCCAACCCCCTTCCCAAGGCCCTAAAGCACAAACCCGTTGGGAGTCCCCTCTGTTTCCCAAAGGAAATATTTCATTCATATAATGTCTCCTTTGTAATCAACACTGAGAAATGTCACTTTGATTAAACACAACTCTGAATGACTAAGACCACAGTACAATAAATTCTCCAGAGCTATCTTTCAGAACAACTGATTGCTCTCCAGTCTTAATCCTCCAGAGTCTTATTTAATCAAAATGATGTTGCTAATTAAGGATTAAAACCTCCGAATAGAATAAAAAAGAAGGATTTTTCTTTCTCCTTTGGGCAGGTCAAGGAGGCAGAATTTGCTGTAAGGAAGTAAAGAGTTTCCTTTTGGTAAAACTGCATTGTTCCCTGACATTAGGACTTAATCCAAAATAGGCCTGAGTGCTTTGTAATATTAACATAATTGGAGTTTTAAAAAAGAGAGAGAGGAAGAAAGAAAAGGAAGAAAGAAAGAATGAGAGAGAGAGAGAAAGAAAGCAGAAGAAAGAGAGAGAGAAAGTAGAAATTGCCTGGGATAGCTCCATACACCTAGCCAATATTTACTCTAAAATGTTTTTATTTAGTGTTTTTAATATGAATTTTCTTTAAACATTTTTGTCTGATGCTGTCTGTGCATTGCCTTTATCCATTGCAAACGTTGATGGAAGGACACAATATTTTAGAAAAATGTTGGCAACCCATTTCATAGAAAAGAGGGAAAAAGACAATGTATCTCACATATATTTGCTATCCACTGGTGAATAACAACAGCAAAAAAGAAATTTTATACTAAATGCTGACTGCTATCTCTTAAGATCTAAATTTCAATTTTTCTTTTGAATTTGTGGTTAGTAATAGAAATTGGTTCCTTAAAAACCACACAAACTGATGAATTGTCTAAGAACTCACTGGGAGAGACAGATTCACAGAAAGGAAGTTTGATTTTCATGGTATATAAACTCTTTCAGGTATTGGGGGTCAGGTGGGTGAGAAACAGAGGTGATGTTTTAACATATTGTAAAATACTTCTTTCATCTTTGCCATCTTCTCTCTGAATTGGACTGCAAATTTATATTAATAATTCCTGCCAAATTAGTCTATTACAATATAGATGTAACTGATAATAATATTGGCTACCATTTTTTGATCACTAATTGCCAAGTTCTTTGCCACAATATACATATTATTAGCTCTAATAATACATGAGAAGTATTACTATCCTGCATCAGAAATAAAGTGAAATAGGGAATAAATAACTTGATCAAGGTCAGTTGGCTTGTGGTAGGCAGAGTTGAGACTTCTACCCAGGCCTCATTGGTTGCAAAGCCATATTCTATTCAACGTGACAAGCCACTTCGCGCCTTTTTACTGGGAGGATAAATTTATCAGCTTGTCTCAGGAAGGCTCTGGTACACTGTACTGGTCTGAACCTGACTTATAATCTACCGCGATTACTGATGGAATCATCATCATCCTCACTTACCCAGCCCAATCAATGACAGACACTGAACAACGACTATCAAAATGAGACCAGAAAGCAAACAATGAGAAATTCCAAAAGCGAGGAGAATGTCATAGACCTGTTTTCCCTCCTAACAAGTGCTACTTACCAGTTAAAAAAAAACTTTCGTTTCTTTGAGCTACACTCCCGAAGGCCGTAAGCACCCAGTGGACAAACGATGGCTCTTACTCCTCCTGTGCCAAGGCAGATGGTCAGCAGTGCTACATAAAACAGCCTGTGCTGTTCCTTTTTCGGTATGTTGTTAATCACATGGTAAGTGCCCAGATAGACATCTTCCAAGGGAAAAGCAACCACAGATAACAAAGCAGTACCTGTAGGCAGAGAAAAAGGAAGAATAAATATAGTATAGACCAATTGAACCACCAAATCACATCATAAATGTTTTTCCTCTGACGGTAGCATCATTATGTGATTGTATTATTAAAATATTTATGTTAATCATTGCAATTTGGGAGATAGGCTGATTTTTCTGAGTGTGAAAATTTCCTGCAATGTGTGTCTTACCTAATCCAGAGATTTAGGGATTTTTTTTTTCCCCTCAAGCTTGAACTATGTTTTCTCTCAGAATGTATAAGCAAATCATGTCCACTGTAACAAAGTTAAAACAATTCAGAAATGCATTGTGTAAAAAACTAAGTTGTTTGTATTCCAGCCCGCAGAGAATACCACTGTTAACAAGGCTTACTTGTTCCTGATAGAAAACGCCATGATGTCAGATAGCTCAGAAATCTGTTAAATAAAAATTGCTAAGAAGAGCATTATCATACTTTGAGGAGAACACAGCCTATTTTTTCCTTTCCTACTTCTCTTTCTCCTTCTTAATGCCCTTCTTACATCTCTTGTTTTGCATGCAGCTGGATGGGCCTTCTTTGGCAGGCACAGAGATGAGACGGGTGGGGAGAGAGGAATGTGAGTGGTGATGCCCATGTTGGGAGGAGGGAGGACCTAGAGTGACAGAGGGGGGTTGAGTGACCTCACTGCCACCTCACAGGGACCACACTTGATGGTTTTCCTTGTCTAATAAAAATTATGATACGATTCTATGCTTTTGCTAAGCTCTTTATATTTTGCAAAACATTTTAATGTACTATATTGTTTCGTCTCAGAAAAACTTTGTGACGTCAGAGGATAGATTTTCTTATTCCAATTTTTCAAAAAGAAAGAAAGAAAGAAAGAAAGAAAGAAAAAAGAAGAAAAGAAATGGTTTAGTGAGGTTATGACTTTCCCAGTGTTACAGAGTAACCCAGATGTAATCTCTCTCTTCTCAGACTTCCTACCATTGAGTGGTCAAATCATCATTTTTTTTTTTTTTGAAACAGCATTCCCCTCTCATCAGATTACAAAAGTAATATATTCTTACTTCAGAAAATTGGAAAAATATAGGAAAGCACCCAGAATAATACAAAAGCCCCACAATCTCATAGCCCAGAGATAATCTTTACCATATATTATACTTTTATGAATATGTTTTACTTAAATAAGTAGAGATTACACTGTTGATTCCTTTTAACATAACCAAATAATATGAAGATTTTTAATATCTTTATATATTCTTTTTCAACGTGATTTGTAGTGATGATGTGACATTCTAACCATAATTTGTTTTAGAATCTTTTGAGTTATTGTGAATGAATAGTGCACAAATACCTTTACCATGACAATTTTTGTGCACAGCTTTGATTATTTCCTTAGCCTAAGTTCTTAGTCAAAGGCATTCATATTTTTATGGCTTTTTAATATCACTGACAGATGTTCTTTAGCCATGGAACAATCTAAACTCCTACCACCATTGTATGCGTGGCCTTCATCAACACTAGCTACCATCATTAATTTTTGCTTTGCCAATTTGATTAGTGAAAAAAGGCTCCACCATGTCAGTTTTGTTCTCCATTTTATTAATTTGGCACGAATATTTTGGTATGCATTTTTATATAGTTGTTTTTTGTGGTTAGTTTTCTCAGTTAGACTGTAATAAGTCACTTATAGATAAAAACTGGGTCTAACGTTTCCATCTCCCTACAGAGGCTTTCAAAATGGGAAGCTTTTTGGCAACACATTGATTTACCATGAGCTGGGCCCTTTCAATTACTGAGTTTGAAATGTTTCTTTTCAAGGTTAGCCAGATATGGAACTAACTGTTGTCTCTCCATCACTCAATCCTCTCCTCTGGAAGTGTGATGTGAGGCCTGGCTAGATAAAGGGATATCCAAAAGGAATGTGCAGGGAAATCATTTCATTCAACAACCATTTCTTTAAGGACAAGACACTTTTAGTTTATATAGTACCTTTGTGTAAATTAGAAAGATGCTTTACTTCCATCTTTTAAGAAAATGTTATAATATATGGATCTTGTTAGATCAAAACTTTATTTCTATCTACTGTAAAATTAATGTAATAAAAATACAACGTATTTGATACGTATTTGACGTATATGATAACGTATGCTAGTATGTATTACATAATTAGCATACCTGTATTTGGTAGCTCTGTATAAAGCTCCATGATGTGTCATATCCCCTACAGGGGGTGGGAGTTCTCCTCTCTCTAGGAGCTAATGAGTTTGTCAGAGAAGTCAGACATGTAGGTGGACAATTATATTATAAAGTGGTAAATGCAATCATATAGGTACCATCGGGATGTGGTTGAACACGAAGAAGTTAGCAACAAACATTAAAGGGTCTTGAAAGAATGGAGTTTTCCAATTTTGGATATGGGGTGGAAAGAAAAGGGAAGGCGACAATTTCAGGCAGAGAGAAGAGCATATGTAAGATTAGAAAGCTAGGGAAGCAGGAAAGGAGAAGTTCAGCATAGTTAGGATTGCATATTAAGCAAGAAGTCTGGAGAGATAAGCATGGAATAGATTATAAAGTTTGTTGTATGCTAAATTAATAAATTTAGATTTTATTTTTTAGATAATATAGTCGATACATAGATTCATTTTTTCTGGAAGTTGGTATTGCTGATATAAGGGTGTATGGACTGGAGACTGATTGACAACTGGCAGCCCCAGTACATTGGCCATTGCAGTGGTCAAGAAAAAGCTGCATTTTTGAGCTAAGGTTGTAGCAATTCAGACAGAAGAGACATTTCTGATAAAACCTCTCATATTTGGTGACTAGTTGGAATTTGATGGCAGCTGTGAGTGGAGAATACAAGCAAACACTTTTACTAAGAAAATGAATGTAGATAGAGTTGACATAGGTCTTTTGTTTGCCAAATTCCAAAGGCAGGATTTCCACCCTGGTCTGATGACTGACTTACCCCAGAAATTAGACTGACGGGAAATACCACGTTAAACAAGAAGTTACCAAATGCTACTGGTGTGGCCTGTTACCAAGTGAAGCAGAGCAAATTATTCAGGTGTTTGCTACAATGTCTCCTTATCAGAAAGCATTCTCTGATTCCAGGTAGCAGCCCTGTCACTGTCCATTCCAGCCTGTCCCCTTACCCAGCTTTATTTTTCATCATAACACTTATTACCACCTGGAATCATATCTATCTACTTGTTTATTTTTTCTCTCCCTGCACCAGAAAGTCAACTTCAGCAGGAACAGACTACTTTCTTCTCCGTTGCACTCTCAGACCCTGGAACAACGCCTGGCACAGGCTAGTCAATAAGAAATATTCGTTGAGTGTTGAGTGAGTATTTGTCATGCAGAGACTTAGTTTTTATTTCACAGGACTTCGGCAATGAAATTTACAGGTTTGAGTCACACTCTAATCGATTCCCTGAACGGTAATTTACCACCTGCCTGAAGTTGTGTGGTGTGTTGAGTACCTGATATGTATCCATCCCGTTCTCATTCACCCTCCCACCAACATGCATTCCGGCCGCACTTCTCACTGCTGGTGAACAGCACACTACCCTCCCAAGTTCCTCAGCTCAGAAGCTTGGAGTTAATTTTTGCTCCCCCATTGTATTTGTACCCTTATTTAGTTGCCGAGTTTTTATAGTTTTTCACATGTTCTGTCCTGAATTGGCATTTTTCTATTGCTTAGACCATCATCCTGAGATTTTCTAGGTTCTCTCTATTTAACCCCTTGCTGTGGTTGTTCATCCTGTTTATTGAAGAAGAGCATTTCTCAAATCTTGTTTTCATTGTATCTTCAGAGACTTCGTGTTGTCTATGAAGAATAACTTGAACTTTTCAGCCTAAAATTCTAGACTATTGATCAACTTGCTCTCTACCTAATTCAACTCTTTTGCTATTTCTCCAGCATTTCTTGCAAGCACTTCACTCCCAAACTTTTGTAGATGTTTATTATTTTTTTCTATGTTAAAGAAGCACAGAGTGTCTGAATTTGCTTATTTTCAAAAGCATATAACCATAGTTAATAATATAGAAGTCATGTCTTCATATGCAATCTTAATTAACATATGACTAATTAAAAGACCACCATTGGATAAAAACATTTCTCAATTATTCTACATGAACTTCAAAACCTTTTTAGCACATTTCATCTTAGTTGTGAAGCAAATAAATTTATATTTCACAAGGAATTTGTCACGACTTGGGCTTGGAGTAAAAAGAGGGAAATAGAGGTATTCTAAGGAGTACAGAAGATAGTCATGTAAAGAAATAATTGTTACAAAATATAATAAGCGCAATAATATAGGTATCAAAGTATTTTCTAACACACACACATGCAGGCATTCTTCAAATAGTACAGAGAATGGAATAAATTGAAACAACGTTCTTACTTCATTTATCACATTTTATGCTAAGAGCAGGGTGGGGATAATGTAAACTAAAAGTTCTAACAAAAATCTATTCAATTAAGTTGCAAAACAATCCAGTCAGCAGAGGATACTCACCTAGAAAATGTAGAAGTAAGCAAGTGTACACCAGTTGGTTTCTTCCCACATAGACATCAGTGAGCCATCCGGCAATCACAGGGGTAAGTATTGAAGTTCCAGTAAAGCACAAGTTCAAAATGGCTGCCTGGTGGTTGCGGTAGCCAAGCTTAACAGTGCAAAAGGGGATCATGTTGCAGACAACTTCAGAGAAAGTGAACCTCTCACATAGCTCCACCAGAAACAAGCAGATTCCAACCTGAATTTTTTTCACAGAGTATGAGGAAGAGAAATAACCGATGTGACTTACAGTTTTCTCCTTCTCAGTGCTGTGATTTAAAGGTACTACCTCATCAGTTATCGAAAAGTCTATGACAGACATGTCCACCCTCCTTGTATGCAACTTACGTTAGTAGTTTGAACTGGGTGATTTTTTTAATCCCCATCCTTCTAATGAAAAAATAAGTAAGATCACAGCTTTGAATTTCACATCTCCATGCCAAAATTTCATAAGGTTTTTTGCACATTAATGTTGTTCATTTTGATGATCCAGGAGCACAGGAGAGGAGACATGAGTATTTAAATGTTCATAGTAGCTCCGTGTAGCCCAAACTGATTTGTTTGTTTAATTACTTAGAGGCTAAATTAGGCTCTTCCTCCAAAATTATACTGAATTACGTGAACCCAGTTGCAAACATGTGGAAACTCATCTGCCTCGTACTGATAAAGGTTTAAATACTGAGGCAAAAGAAACAGTTTTTCAGGAGAATTTGAGCACTAGATCAAGAAATAATTTGAATCTATTAATTTCTGATACTTTAATTAAACAAGCCAGAACAGTACCAAGAGATAAAGCGCTAAAGGAAATCTGTTTTGAGGGGGCAGGAAACCTTATCATTATTACATTTCTTGTTATTTTTGGTTGGAATTCTGATAAGAAAGTTAATTAGGTAACGAAAGTGCTAGTACATTTAGGTAACAAGCAGAGTTTACAAGAAAGTAATTTAAGTGCACTAATGAAAGGAGAAAATATTAAATAAAACCCTGCTTCCTTTAAGTTGACCCCATGCTTGTAGAACAGCTTCTCAGAGGAAATAAGAATCAAAAGGCGCTATTTGACTCCCTTATGTTAATCAGTAGTCAGGGATACAGCAACCAGGCTACACATGCTTTCGGGGGTATTGGATCTGGTATCACCCTAGCCCTCCAGCTGGGTGAATGGATGTTAGCATTGTATTCTGGAAAGCAGGAGGGCACCAATTAAGCTAAAACAGCAGCAGTGAAAGAGAATACCTTCATGTTTAGTGGTTTAGCTGCAAGGACATGGAAGACAAGGGACTGGAACTACTGGGGCAAAGTCATATCAATTCAACACATGAGTACAGGAAGGTTATTTTCATATTGGAGTGAAAACCGAAAGACTGACAAGGGCTTTAACTCTGATTCTCATCTTTTGTCCTGAGAGATTGGGAATGAAACACTGTTTTGACCCCTTCTAATAGTCTCATTGTGATGGTAGCTATTTATATCTGCTCAGCATCACTTACTCCATCTTTGGTAACAAAGCCCTATTTTTCCTTTGTGTAGAGTGATCATGCAACTTTTTATCCAAACTTGAACACTTGAGTAAGCGAAAAGTGATGCTATTTATAGTTATTCCTGAAAAACGGGTATCAAATGGGACTGTCCTGGGCCAACTCCCACCTGTGGTCACCCTTCCTTTGGGGAATGACTCCCATCTAGTACCTGAGATCATGCGGGGGGGTGTTAATCAGGATATCTCTTTTATTCTGTCCAAGGGGGTCAATACACAGCCTAAGATGGTCCTTTTGCCTTTCTCCACTGGAATTTTAATCATGAGGGGACTAACTCAAGAATGGACAGGGTGCAAGCTGAGTCTTTCAGATGGCAGTACCCAAAAGGGATTGCCCATGAGGCCCTGATGGAGAACTCAGTGCCTCTCTTGTTCTTACCTTTCAGGAAAGATTCCTTGTTCCTTCTGTAGAAGGCTCAAAACATTCCAATCAGTTTTGAGTTTTGTTAAGTTAGATACATTTTGCTTCTGTGGCTTCCAAAGAACTCTAAGCGACACTTTACTTTTTTATTTGCCCCAGATGCAAGGGAAAGTTGTTCCTTAGCCACTGGCTGACACATTTAGTCCCTGACAAAGTGCTCCTGCAGTGTCATTCCCTGAGCCACTTCCCAGGGCCTGATGCTGATCATGTCTGAAGTTTTGGGCTCCTTTGTGTAGCCCTGAACAGGCCACAGGTGGTAGGAGCCTGAAGGCTGGGGGTAGCTGAGTCAAGAAGAGCAACAGCATTTGCCTTTTTTTGAAGGGGATATTTGGTAACTCTCCACGAGAGCCACTTACTCAGAAAAAAAGTTTATTTCAGTTATCTGTAAGGGGAAAAAATCTGATTTTAATCTTATAACAAGGTTCAAAGTAGTTGTCAAAAAGAATGTTTACTGACTCTGGAGTTAGAAGGATATTCCTGCCCCTTTATCACTTAAGGTGAATTTTTTTTTGTCTATGAGCCCATTACATCAACTGCAAAATACAAACAGTAAAGTCTGTCTCAGAAGATTATTTCTGAGGTTCAGTTTAGAAAATGACTGATGACATGTCAAGGATTGTATGTGGAAACACTTTTGTTATTACTTGCTGCTGTATGCCTGTGTTTTCTAGCTATTCGGAGCAATGAGCCCTAGAGAAACTTCATGGAACCATTGCCAAATTCCAGTTTGCACAAAAAACAGAAGTTAGAAGGGTGAGATTTTGCTGAATAACGTTGAAGTAATGGGAAAACACCTTCTTTTTAATTGTCACTTCCCTACTAGTTCTCAGTGCCTTGTTCAGAGTGATCTCAAAGGGCAAGTATCAATTCCACTTGAGAATAACACTTGGCAGGGAATATTGAATGTCATCATCTTTATCAACAATCTAGAGGCCTTGAGTAGGAATTTATACATATTTTAGTTTTGCGTAATCCTTTCCCCAATCCCAGTTCAGGCTTGTCCTCCGTTCCCTGCCCCTCTTTCTCTGTAATGAAGTGATATTTTTTCTCCACTATAGAAGCAAGGTACACAATATATGTACATTGGGTAGAATTTGGAAAATACCTAAATATGGAAAAAAACCAATGAAAGTTTTTGAAGCCTTCCTTTTGATGTTTTCTCTCCATAGCTATTTTTCATTAGCAGATTTTAAATATTTAAATTGTGTAATTATGTACAGTTATCATATATCTTACACTCCATTTGTAAGCACTGTTATAAGCATTTTAACATACCATTATAAACTCTTTGTAAACATAAATTTTATGATACATTAACACTTAACTATTCTTCCATTGTTGGTTAATTATATTCGTCTCAGATCAGTTATAAGGCAGGCTTTCTCAAACTTTTGACCATGAACCCAGATCCTATAAGGGTTGTTTGGGGAACATACCAGAAATGCAAGCCCTGCTTTTAAGGAGGCTGTTTTTAAATATACAGCATTAGAAAGCATCTCTATGAGATATCTCCAAGAAGTTTATGAATTTGAAAACTTTAGTGCCTTCTAAAATGTTTTTGTAGTGTGTTACTGTAACACTCTTCTATTTTTGTATATATTTTCAGAATAACTTTTCATAGGTCCTCTAAACAGCTAGTAAGTGTTTTTAAAGGAAGAGCTTTTCTAGCTCAATAATTCTCTGTAAATGGTGTACACAAAGGTCAGTGGCAGATATTTATTCCCTTAGGCCTATCGATTCCATTTAATTCCATTGACAGTGAGGTTTGGTAGCGGGTTTGAAAGCATTGTCAAGAACATGAGGATTGGGCTCACTGTAATTTAATTATTAAAAATGGTACATCAAAGAATTGGAGTGAAATTTTTTGCTAGATTGTTCAAGGTCTAAAGTGAAATGGAAAGATAACATATTGGGCTTTACTTTTTGTTTTGTGAAAAAGACATTCTCTGTGTCTACTTCTTTCCTATTATAAAGAGGCTCTGGCAATTGTATGACATCTACACTTTGATCCTTCTGTCCAGTGTGAAAGAGAATTACTTCAGCCCCTAGCAGATAATAATTCACACAGTCCCAAGAACACAGAAAATATTCTTCTGCAATATAGTGTGTTTTCTCATCTTTCTGAGGACAACTAAGAATAAAGGCTATTGTATTCCCATAGTTTATCTTTCATATCATGCAATGACAATTATGAATCTTGCTACTATGTTGAATTCTACATAGAGGGTATATCTGTATAAAGTAAATAAGGTGGGAATGAGTTATCACATGGAAACTATGACGGTTAATTTTACGTGTCAACTTGCCTGGACAACAGCGCCTAGATATTTGATCAAATATTACTCTGGATGTTTCTGTGAGGGTGTTTTTGGATGAAATTTACATTTAACTCAGTGGACATTGAGGAAAGCAGGTTGCCTCATCCAATCAGTTGAAGATCTGAATAGAACAAAAAGCTGACTGCCCCCGGGGCAGGAGAGAATCCTCCAGCAGGCTGTGGACTTCATCTGCAATGCAGGCTCTTCCTGGTTTTCCTGCAGACTGCCTTTGGATTCCAACCACCAGTCTTCCCTAAGTCTCCAGTCTGCCAGCCTCCCTCATCAGATTTCGGACTTGCCATGCCTCCACAACCACATGAACTAATTCCTTAAAGTCCCTTCCTATATGTACACACATACACACACACACACACACACACACACACACATACTCCACTGGTTGTTTCTCTGGAGAACACTGACTAATACAAACACCATCCATATTGTCCCTATTTTTCATTCTTTTTTTCTTTTCTATCTGATTATGAAGGAAAAAGAAAGTCGGGCTTCTATACAGAACTGATAGCTTTCAAATAGATGTGCTGAACTGAGACATCCCTCCTGGGTTCTTGGTGAATTGATGGACACGTCCATTGAGCTTCTCAGTGAAAATTCAAACTCATCCTGTCCCAAACTTAACTCATTATCTCTTTCCAGATCCTACTCCCCTTCCCCCTTTCTTAATGATTCATGAAATCACCACTTACCCACATATCCAAGGGAAAAAACTGTGAGATGTCCTAGACACTTTCTTCACTTCTTCTTCACCTCTTATATCTAATTTTTTCCAGAAAGTATTTATTGAGTATCTAATATGTGCCAGGAACTCTTGTAGATGTTGGTGGGGTCAGGGTTGGGGGGTAAGTACTATCAATTCAACCTTCTAAATATTTCACAAATCCGTCCTTTTTCTTTGGCTTGTCTACTCTGTCTTAGTTTGAGCCGTTTCGCGTGTCCCCCTGGCATTGCTGCCCCCAGCCTGGCTTCCTTCCATCTGAAACTCAGTCACCTGTGCGTCACTTTCTCTATTTGCCACAGCTGTCTACCTC